TATGAAAACTGTTGATTAATTTTTACTTTTTATCTCTCAAAGTACGTACTAGATTCACCTTTAGGTAATATATTAGGAACACTGCACTAAAGCTAAACAGCGTACAATATAAATATAATTAACATTGATTAAGTTATAAAGACTACCTACCCATGATAGATAATTATGATTTTAAAAGTTCTACAGTTATTCATAATACTTAATAAAAAATAGATCAAAAAATTATATTTAAGCATTTTATTATTTTAGGTTAGGTTTGTTCATAATTTGTTAGAGAGTTTTAACTTTTTGAGGTGATGGTGAAATTGATTAGTGAAGATTATTTTGGAAGATATTGTACAAGTGCTAAAGGAATAATGATAAGTACCTACAATAATCGAAATAATGTCATCTGCCACCTAAGAGGTCCGGTTTGTTGTTTATTTTTAAAATGCGCAATTCCAGCAACGAGGTGATCTTCTTTATTCGCGACGCGTCCCCTGCAAATTACGGTACATGCGTATAAATACGGGCTCATGTCAGATGGATCCGGCACAACGCAATCATCAACACACTCGATCGCTCAAAACGGTCTGCAATACTCAAMGATTTGATTGAAAAACATCACAACAGCCAAACATMAACATGTCCGGAAAACTCGTTGTAAGWAATAAGTATACCTATAACATAAATGTAAAYACGAATTCTAACTTTYAAGCATATACAARATATCGTCGCTATGAAATTCGCATTTTTGTATCTTAGAGTATAAACCTAACCTAACCTAACCGTATACGGCTATATACTTAAAAACTTATTATTTATAATTTATTRCACATATTCGATGGATTTAATATAACATTWTGCGTATCGTTTTGTTAAATTTGCCTTTAGATCTTTTTCTTGGTTGCCGTCGCTYTGGCTTGCATCGGTTCCGCCGCCGCACAACACATTGTCTATCCRACACCAATCATCACTTCCTACTACCACCCATACGGATACACCTACCCCTTGACTTACAACTACAGGTTCGGTGCTTACCCATACCTCTTGCGCCGTTGAATTACACATCCAACGCCTTCACCCTTTCAATCAGTAAGTATATTAAAACGGAAAAAACTACCTAATTATTAATACCTATTATATAATATTATAGCGTATATTATCTATTATACCACTTAAACCAGTGACATAAAATCACTTTTGTAATACATTTCATTCGTAAAATGCTATATATTTCATGTTCCGATGGAATRGAACTGTAAAAACTCGTTAGGTAATTCGTATAGTTTAACTCGTTTAAGATTCGTTCATCTAATCATATTTTACTGTAATGATTAGTAATTAATCATATTTTACTGTAATGATTAGTAATTACTAATTACAGTACATTTATTCATTAGGTACTCACTACATAATATACTTATAATGTTATAAGTATATAAGTTACTACATTGATTTTTACTCACGTTAGGAGTATAATTTTAGAACATATTATAAATTATTATATCGATATTGTATCATAATAAATACTTATAAACTTAAAAAGGTAGTTTTTTCTATATTATTTCTTCTAATTGTAAATTTTAATTTTTGAATAGTTATTTGTTACTGTAAAATGTAAATTATAATATTAAAAAAACAAGTCGTTAGAGCAGGATTATTTTTTATTTTTTATAAACATTAAAGTATATGGTTGATATAAGTTTACTAAAAATACGGTTTCTGTTTTCAGATACACCTTGAAGAAGAATAAACAGAATCTGATCTAGGTAAAACGATATTTAAATGATATGTAGTGCTTTTATTTATTTGGTAAAAAAAAATTGTAATTTWTATTGAAATGTTGTAATTATTGCCGTAATCATATTATATATACACGTCATGTTAATATAAAAAATAAATATTTTCATACAAAACGTACATACTCTGTTTTTTATTTATTCTCCCATATCATCACCATGCAGAATATTCTTGACATTTGTTTTTTAAATTGTATAATTGATAATAAACTAAAGGACAATGTATTATATTATATTTATATGTCACAGCCTAAAAAGGGGCATTATATAGCTAAAGGTTTAACACAATATTTGGAATGAGACGTGACCTATCGGCTATATTATTATATTTTACTACCAWGTTCTAAGTGTCTTTTATTTTCATATGTCTAGACACATAAATTTGAGGGGGTTTTATTTTATTTGAGAAAAAAGGTTGTTCTAGGAAATATGGTCTGTGTAGAACAATATAGTGCAATATACGGATAAATGTATAAACTCGATTCGTGAGTTTAGATTACTTTTTTTTTGTCGTAAACTCGATCTCGCAATAGCTGATAATTAAAATGTCGATTGTTAACTCAGCCTCGATTATTTTTTCAGTTCAACCCATGTTATGAATATAATATATTAATATTAAATTACAAGGATTATAGAAATTACAGAAACCTAGAAACCGACTAAATCTATATTCAAAAATCGTTTTAATGAGCCATTTAAACATTAATGATCTAGTATAATAATAGAAATGAAAAAAAATTAGCAGATAATGAGAATACCTTCTTCTGAAATTGAGTGCTAATG